GTGTAAATTCTGAATTGACAGATCTTTATTTCAGCCTTTTATACTCATCACTTCATTTTCCTCTGGCTTGTGTAGGTTTTGGCAATAAAACTCCTGCCATTTTTATCTTTGTTCATATTTGTGTAATGGGTCTTTTTCTCCGTCTTCAATATTTGCTTTTAATCTTTGTGTCAGAAATTTGACTGTGATTTCTCTAGTTTTCAGTTTCAGATTATTTTTTGTTTTTGCTCTTTTTCAGTATTGGGTTTGCTGAGCTTTTTGGGTCTGTGATTTGATAACATTCATTTTTTTATCACCTTTGATCATCATCTCTTCAAATAGTCTTCCTGCCATATTTTCTCCTTGTCCTCTGGGACTTTGATTATCTATCAGTTAAACCATGTGGCATTATCTCACAGCTCTGGGAAAGTGTGTTCCATGTCTTCACTCGTTTTCTCTTTGTGTTACGGTCTTGGTAAGTTCTATTGATCTATCTTTAACTTCACTGATTCTTTCCTTGGCTGTATCCCATCTACTCATGAGTCCGTCAAAGTAATTTTCATTTCTGATATCATGTTTTGTTTTTTTCTAATATTTCGATTTGACTTTCTTATATTTTCCATGTCTCTCATGAAATTCTCTGTTTATTCATGTAGCCCTTCTTTCTATTCTCTCATTAAACATATTAATCTCCCTTAATCATAGAATAGTTCTAACATCTGTGTCATCTTAGGGTCTGGTTCTGTTAATTATTTTGTATCTTGACGATGGCTTATCATTTCTTGCTTGGTTTGTGTGTCTTGTAACTTTTTTTAATCAAATGCTAGACATCATGAGTAGAACAGTAAAGAATAAGATAAATAGGATTTACTCCTGGGAATAAACACACCCTTTCTTGTGGCAAGTTGTTAGTGAATTAGGTTGCATCATTATATTCAGGAGTAGAACTGGATTTGGATTTTGTTTTCATGGTTGACTTCAAGACCCCACAGCTTCCAACTCCTTTAACAATGCCTTTTGCTTAGGGGAAGTTCTGGGGTGTACAAAAATCTGTCTCCTATTTATGCACACACCCCAGTTTCCAGCCATCCCTACATCCCTGCACCATGGAAAAGGATTCATACTCCTCTCCTCCCTCCAGGAGTAGAAAGCAGTTGTTTTATACTCAGTACTTGCATCTTTATCAAAGAGGCCCCCAGAGCTGCCTCACCCCCCACCCTGCTATATGAGGCAGCAAGAAGGCGTCATCTGCAAGCCAGGAGGACAGCCCTCATCACACCCGACCATGCTGGCACCCTGATCTCTGACGTCCAGAACTGTGAGAAGGAAATGTCTGCTGTTTAAGCCCCACAGTCAGCCTTGGCTTTCATCATGGCAGCCTGAGCCGACCAAGGCGAGAGCCAAGTACAGCCCCAGCTCCTGGTGCCATGCCTGCA